CAAACAGGAAAAGGTCCACATGCCAGAGAAGTACAGGGTTTTCTAAAATAGGACTTTTTAATAATCTTTTCAGTACGTCATACATCTCCTACTGTTGGGTTTTGCATAGAAATCATGTTTCTTCATTTTTTTTAAATTTCTCTGATTGGACACTTTTGTGTTGCAGAACATTGCTTCTATATCCCCCCTTCGTCTTCTTCCAAATTGTTAGCTCTCATTCCATGCAACAACGGTGTGGTAATAAATAGTAAACTCACCGGGCTTTGCGGTCGTTATGCTCATATTATTCGTTAGGAAGGAGCACGTGCCGGCATTTGAGCAAGATTTCGTCACAATATTGTATGCAGTGTCCGGTTGAAGATTTTGCAGAGTGCATTCCTTTAAGTTGGTGCCAACACACTGTTGCTGAGTAAGTGTTTTGTCCACGGGCATTGCGTAAACAAACGTGAATCCCACTCGTTGCAGTTCATTGTACGGCTGCACCCAACTCACATACGCTGTCGTTTGCGTTATATTTGTGACCTGAACTGACTCCGCACCTAGGTGATCAGCAAGCGCATAATTATAGACAATGGTCAGTTTGTATGTGACTATAAAAGGGGGAGTTGAAGAATAAGTACTTATTATGGTCCTTACTTGAAAGAAACCGATGCGAATATAAAAGAGCAATTGATCGAACATAATAATTTATAGTGTTGTTAAGCGAAGCGCTTCCCAATCCCACATACTCAGATGTTATTAGAGCTACCACGTTATTCACGTTCGATCATTATCAGTCGGAATTAGGGAGATAGAGTTATTGGGTCAGATTTGTTTATGTAGTCCCACCGGAAGCAAACAAACCCCAGCCACCTGTAATACGAGAGCAGTGGTAATAGGGGTTTTTACAGGTCGGGCCGGGGTTCGCACAGACGATGAGGTCAAGTAGTTGTATGCAAAAGAAAAGCAATGGAGGGTGCACGGTTGTACTTTGATTGGTTTAGAAGTAAGTGCCCTAACCACTAAGCCTACTCTCCAAAAATAACCCCTAACCAGAACACTCAATACGTATTCCCACCCCGGCAGGATTGTCTCCATTATAGGGTGGCAACATAACCATATCTTACCAGTTATTGCACGCTAAAACCGTGCATAAGCTGGAATTGCGTTTGCCATCTAAAATACGTTATACTAATATGGTGAATTTTATCATTTCCAGTAGATTCCTGAGTTGAGAATTTTGCAACAAATATAAAAAAAGCTTCCCTGATAATCTGTAGTATACAACGGCAGCTGTGCATTTGTATAATCCCGATGAACGTATGTCAAAATAAAAATAGTTGACCTGCTAGTACTTAAACGTTTGTCCACTTGCTCGGAGATTTATGAGATCATTCATATTTGTAACTTAAAATTTTGTTAGTGTGCCTTTCCGAAAACTTCTACATCTTTTAATCCTATTGGTTTTAGCGCTAAATTATTTTATGTTATTCTGGTGTTATGCATACGTGCACGATTATAGGAGTAGCCTTCCTTCTGAGAACTGCTTGTCTCAAAAAACTCACAAATGGGCATCAATTTGTGTCAATCTACATTATTTTCGTGTTCATTCTTAAACTATATGTATTCATTTAAATTGTCTGAGGGTGTGTTGTAGTACTTTCACCAGGTCGCTTTCATTGCAGCCTTATGTAAAATATGTGCATTGGATTAATATCCCATATTTTGAGACTTCTCTAGATGTCCTATAAAGAACCGCTTTTAGAATTCCACTGTCTTTTACCATCTGACTATGCAGAAACTTTTGTCAGAATATTCTACGGACGATAAAATATTCTAAATTTAGACGCATTTCTGGGTTTTATCGGTAAGTGAGTCTATTTTCTAATCTGTTCGTTTTAATGAGATTCAACGATTAACAGTAATTTAATCTTGTTGGGAGTAACACGACTCAATTCGGTCTTCGATGGCCACTGTTTTACGAAACTTGCATAACATTATCTCTCTACTGCAGTGAATAATCAGATTTGAAAAAACAATGCATTCCAACGAACAAAAATTACTGCCACAGTAATTGGAACCCACCTAGATATCTTTTAATCATAAAACGGATACAGCTCTATCTTCTGTAATCTATAATAACTGCAGCGTGATTAGCTTATCAGCCGTAGCAGACTTATTTTGATGGTATAAAACAGTTTATTACCTTTGAATGATGAAAATGCGTTGTTGGAACGCAGTTTAGTACAACTGCTCCCCTTGCACACGTCAAAATTGAGCGTATACATTTCGGATGACTTTAGTCCACTGAATGTGTGATTATACTCTCTTTCACCGACAGCAACACGCCACTTGCCCTTCGATCCAAAGAAATTGTCGTAGCGCACTTCAAACTCGTCAGCGCCATCGGCTGTGACGTTCAGTGTCGTGCGCCAGGTGACGTAAACTCTGTGATCATCCAGACCAGAGGAGTAAAGCACATCCATTTCTAGGTAGAAAAACAACTTTGGATAGCAAATTCGAATATTTATTGACTACATGCCATGAATAGTCCACCTTGGTAATCGGTTTCCTTCTCGTGGTTGACTGAGATTCGGTTTTTGTTGTCATAACCATGTTCCCACTAGTCTGTCTAATCCTGAGGCTATAGTTTAGAGCTACCATAAAGGCTTCATGTTTCAATGAGCAAGATAGTTTAAAAATAACCATTGTGATTGAAGATTAACTTTAATCCTCTTCTCTATTGTTTAAGACAAGGAGTCTTATAATAATCAATTCATGTTCAAGCGTTTTGGACTTCGATTCGCATCAGGTAGTTACGAGGTAGTAGGCGAGAGATCCAGATTAGGTTTTGCTTACCTCGCATACATACACGATGCCCGTTTACTCAGGCGTGTTCAATAAATGTATGATATTTTGAATTTTTTGAGCAAGCCGTAAAAGATGTTGGAGTCGAATTGCATGAGAAGCACTTGATGAATCTGCTTTAAAACGGCCTCAAAAACATACAAGGGCAGGCTTGTCTCATTTCGACAATTAATAACAAATAACCGGAGTATGTTATAAAGACGCTGAATTAAAACTGACGCTAAATTATATCCGTTAGCAGGAACCAAATACGAGGCTTGATGTTACCGATTTTCCACATTTCCCAAAATAGCGGAATAGTTGAGCAAATAGAGTAGTAGATAACTGGCTTCGGTCAATTTAGGCATAGGTGGCTGAGTAGGCGTTTTTAAACTGCTTGTTGTGGGCCTATCAAACCAGTAACTGATAAAAAATCACGGTCGCAAGTTTTTATCAAAGCGGCCAAATTCCAAAGCAGAATAAGAAGGCCAGAGGACCTCAGGTTGGCTTACCTGGCGTCCCAGTTTCAACAACAACCGGGGTCCCCTCTGAGCACAGAAGACTATCACGATTGCAGCCGAATACGCGAAAATTGTATTTTGTTGCGGGCACAAGTTCGCCCACTTTGCAGAGGGTGTACGAAATTGGCGGAAAAAATTCGCAACCACGCCCGTAGCTTTCAAACCCGGTGACAGGTTCAAGGGTAGCAATGTAGGCATACAAACCCGAATTTTTCGCCTCTTTCTCAACGTCGAAAGCTATGTCCAGACCGTTATCGTAGACTTGGTTAATGGACGGATTTTTTGGCGCTGAAACGGAGAGATTCCAGTGTTAATATTGGACAGTCGCTACTCAGGAGTTGAAATGATTTCTCCATCATGTGTACTTGTTCGATTTATAGGATCTGTCATACAGCGGCTGCAGCAATTTATGCGACGTTAGCTGGTGGTTTTTGACACGATCTAATGCCCCGAACTCGGTTTGTCCACACTTGCAACTTTGCTTAGGTGATGGACAAACCCCAGGTTAATTAATGCTTGTTTCTTGAATTGATTTTATCCGGACACTCAGATAGTTAAAAAAGAAATAGTGGAGTAGAAATTCGGAATAGTATTTTATGTTTCTTAGGCTTCCGGTTATAAATAAACCATAATCAAAACTAATAACATGTGCAATGTCACCAGTTAACTGGCCGCTGGACCATCAACCATCCAGCTCCTCCGCTGACAGAATTACGCCATTTATCGCATCTTTTAAAAAAATCAGAGCCACTTCCTTCAATCTCGTCTTTCTGTCATGCGTTAGATTGAGCTGAGCGGCAAATTTGTGATCACCTAGCTTTTTAAATAAACCATTTGGCACAAACTAGCTCTATTATTTACTTCCTTAAGGAAAACGCGTAGCAGTAAATGGTTAGCGTTTTGCAGTGATTATGCATTCAATTGCGTTTGGCAACCCACATACCAGGTTGAATGGTAAGTAGTACTTAAACGTATTAAAAATAGGCATTTCTTCCCAAACATGTTCGGAAAAAAATTATCTANTTTGCTTTCGTTTTATGAATGCTAATTCTGGACTTAATGCTGTGCGTGAAAAGTACGCCTTCGGCAAATGAAGCTACTTGGAGGACTACTAGCAGTTCTTAGCAAATTACACAGCAGTCTAAATACAATGCGTTGCGTGCGCCCATCAGACTTCTAAGTGACACGATGCCTTCGTGTTTTTAAAGGTGTTGCCTCTTTGGATATTCGCACGAAAGAACCCAGAAACGTTAAATTTTGTGGAGCACTCTAGATGCCACTACCAGTAATCAGTAGAGAATTTTAAATATTTCAAAGCGTACTAATGCTTTTAAATTTTCATCTATTGTGGCATTGTTCAAAAACGTCTTACTTTACAAAGATAAACGTACTTGATTCTACGCCCGCGACTGCTGGGCTTACCACTTTAACTGGCTTAAACATTTGTTTTTTTGATACCAGGTCGGTATCAGTAAGGAAGTATGTACTGTTTTATGAACGTTCACCGCCACAGGAGGGAAAGAAGTGTTTTTTTACCCGAAGTAAATTATACCAAAGTATTCGTTGAAGTTATATGAGACTTTTTCATGGGATCACGTTGTGCTATTATCCGGACAAGTTGGCGAACTTTCTAGGTGAAGCATGTTGTGTAGGTCAAGTCACTAGCCCAATATCTGAACGAAATATGAAGCAGAATTAACCATGGAATCACCAAAAAACACAGTATCTGTTATTCTGCACAGTCAGTAGATCGCAACTGCGAATTTTTTATATGCAAATAATACTAGTTTTCAGATCTAATCTATGAACCCTCGGAAAAACCAGTGTCGGCATTCGCATTCTTTACTAAAAATGTATCAAATTTTGGAAGGACCCTTTGCAATATTATTTATTTATCTATTTAAGAGCAACAGCGAATCTTAAATAGCTATGATCTAGCAATTAAAACTGTGTTCAAAGTGATCTCTTTAAGCAAATCCTCAAAGTGATTTACGTCTTACCTCCAGGTCTCGTCCGAACACTGAGATTGTTGCCGTACGCAACACAAATCTCATCTTGAGTGCAGGCCTCTAGAGCAACCAGGTAAGTGGAATTAGGCAGAAGTTGCGAAATCACACATGAAAGCTTATTGTCCTTTAAACCCATTGTGCAGCTCTTTTTATTGCCTTCCTGTCGAACGATAAACGCCTTGAATGTGGCCGTCAATGCATCCGGAGGATTCATTGTGACTACAATGTCATAGCTTTGTCCGATGGCTTCAAATGCTGAATAACAAAAGTAAAATAATTTGAGCTGTAAATAATATACCGCGGACAGTCTGAAAAACTGGCTGCATACATTGTACTTGATTTAACATAAATGGCCTTTTTAATTAGCTTTATTCTTTTTTTAAAACGTATTTTTTTGGACCTGGTGCTGATTCAAATGTACTTACTTTCATATCTTTTTAATCAACGAATACTGTAACAAGCATGCAACGGAGAGATTCACTTGTGTCATGAGAATTTTGCGCAAATTTGTATAACAAAAATCCCTTTTATATTATCCCATTGTTTATATTTTTATACCACTGTAACCATCAAGGAACACAAATCAAGTCGGTCAGTGCGGGAGGGTTCGCCTTAAACTTATTTGGTGGTGCAGCATAGTAGCATATCACTCTCATTGTACAAATGCATCATTATTATTGACATTGAAAATTTGTTTTTAATAAGATTTGTACCTACCTGTAGCTTTGATGTTCTCCCCAGTGTAAACTCCTGCCTTTCTTCTAGATAACATGTATAGAAAACATGTTTGAAATGTGGAGTTTTATAAAGGTATGCTTAAACAGTCCGAGTGAAATAGTGTGATTTTGGCTAACACTGATATGCCTAAAACATCGGGCTGTTTAGGTATCTCCAATTCTGAAACCCCTAGGGTACCTTGTAGGAGTGCTAAAAGGTATTCTACAATACGCCAAAGGCAAACAACAGCAAATTCTGCCAGATGGCATCAAATATTTTTTTGTCAAAAGTTTGTTGTCTCAGACTTTATGATACCACGCAGGGCTACTTGTCAGTATAGCATCGCTTGACTATGTGAATATGAAATGTGATCGGAACCTATTATTTCCTTCTCAAAAAAGCCGCAAACAGATGCAGCTAATTATGATGTAAGCAGGCCTTGCATGATAGCATGTTACCGTGCAGTCCTTTACTTATATTTAAAGTACTTGGAGAGTATGCTATTAAAGTGTCCCATTGCAAAATAAAAAAACTCTGTATTATGCTGTTATGATAAAAAATAAGCAAGTAGACCCCAGTTAGTTGGCATCGGTGAGAGAATGTTCAAGAAGAGTTCTATTTTAATATGCAGCTTTTAAAATAAAACGTGGCAAATCTTGCGGGACATTTACTCACTAAATATAGACGTAAACGAGTAGTTGAGAAATAAATATTTTACAGATGGGTATACAAGTTGTGCAAACGGTTGAAAATCCTCAAACATACAGTAAAAGTGATAGGCGGAATGAGGGTTTTTTTATTTAGCTAGCCTGTAGAAAATAGTACTTGAATAAATGACTCCCCGATATTTTTAAAGTTGTTTGCCCCTTAGCGATTGTGCCATTGGTGTTTGTAAACACCATGTCCGGAGTCCCAATAAAAGCACATATTCTGTGCACATTCTTGCGCAATTTTAAGTAAGCGGGCTCAGAATTTTGTGTTGGAAGACAATGCGGGCTTTCAAAGAAAGCATTTATGCTTGTCAGATATATTCGCAACTTAGATTGATGTAGTAAACTTAGCTTAGACTAGTAAAAAAATTAATCACAGTTGAACGAATGTGTCTATATATATTTAAATCGCCTATATAGGGATACTTTTATAACAGAAGTTAAGGAACCGCTGATTTATTAGCTTATGCCCAAATTGTAGTCCGCGTATTATCTGATATTATTAACTTCAATTCTTGTCTGCATTTTTGTTTCAGAATATCTGCTAAACCGTTCCCTATTCGTTTGGTCAAATTATGCAAAACTGCATTCATTCGCACAAAAGGCTATTTGTAGTGAATTGCCTGACTTAAATGCATGTAAATAAAAATCTGTACTCACAATAATAAGCTAACTTATTATTGTATATGCAGATTTTTATTTTAAATGCATCTACATGATTATACTTCATGTGTAAATCAATGGGTGAGGTGTATCGTCAAGACGTTCGATAAAAAGCAGCGTGCACGGTGGTCTGAATGGGAATTTTTTAGTTTGTAATCCAGAATGTGATCTTTTCTCTATTCTACTAAGGATGTTCTTACATGTGTTAAGATGGCCTGCTAAATTAGTCTACTCTGAATTCTGAGCAGACCTGACGATGATAAACGGACACTGTTTGGTTGGAGTAATAATGTAAATGATTAGAAAAATTTACAAAATATTGGTATATATGTTATAGATTATATACATAGTTTGACGTACGCTTCAGCCAGCTTGCCTACCGACACACTCGGTTCGCCATCGCAAAAACTAGCTGCAAATAAAATATTCTAATAAGAATTTTCTCAGGACCATTACTGACAGGACTAATTGTGTTTGTAAAATTAAAAAGTATTTTAACTTTTACCGCAGTCAATAATGTATTGCTAAAATGTCTCGATGAAGTGGCATATATGCATATATGCCACATTGTGCTACTGGATTTTGACTTCGAATATTCGGCGGCATATGCCACGGAGTCAAAATCTAACTATCGAATTATATTTGTATGTTCAGTTATATGCTGTCATGCACATTACCTGCGCATAGAGTACTAAGTAACAAAAACTGAATGCACGAGCGCACGCCCATTCCCATAGGTTGTTTCCTGCGAAATGATCTACACAGTCAGGTTTTATATAGATGACCACTCGTAACCTCGTCTGCCAATTTAGAAAAACAAATGTTTGTTTGACTAGGAAGGATGAAAAAATGAATATAATTAGAAGTGTTCATATCTTACAACGTTTCCGATTATTGTGTCCCAAGGCGGCATCTTGATAGTGCTCTGTCATAGGTCGTGTTACACGCAACCGGAATAACATTTCATGCACTAAACAGTAGCTGAGGAATATTTCCCAATCGTCGGGAACTTGTTTCTAAAGTATAGCGATTTAATCTATCTACACCAGAACGACTGAGTTGGATGTGATCCAGGGGTCAGCAAAAAATTAGCATCAAAGTGCTGAAGGTAGACGAACAAAACTCAATTACCATATCGGATAACTTGGTATTCTGCACCCAAATATCCATCTGACAAGACAAAGGTGTTTTCTTTAGTAAGGCACTATCGTCGAAATACTCGAGGATTACGATTAAAGCACAGTGGACTCCTTAGAGCAAATTTCCGACAAGTTTAAGTCACAAACTGACGGTACAGTACATACGAATATGACAGTAGCGCGCCAGGAGTCATTCACCCTCCAGGTTAACTAAACCTGCCATACTCGCGAATGCTGAAAAGGACAAACTAGGATGAAGCTGAGGGAACCTTGCTACGAACTAACGGAAGAGCTGTCGTTGCTTCCCTAAAATGTCTTTACCACTCGATATCAGCTTAGGGCCAGCGCAGTTAAGACGCTCGTTTATAATCCTGCATTTGGAAGGGGTGTTCTAGCTCTGTGTTCATTTTTGCAGGACAACAGTTCTAAAAGTATCCAGTCCGAAGCCAGTGGGCCATGCACAAATTTTGGATCTGCAACTTTAACACAAACACAAATCCTCCCAAGCTTGACGCGGCGTCTTACATGAAAAAGTCACATTGGCAGTGAACCGACGCAACGCAGGTTGCAAAATCAGGAATTCGGTTTAAGATCTTAATCAGAATAGTGTTGCAAAGTTTGTTCTGGATCCTAAGTCATATGGTCAACCAAATGGTTGCGCAAAATGCTGACATTCTTCGCCGAAAATTCACGCTAATTTACAGGCTGTGGGGTTTGTCACTGTTTATAAAAGCTTTCCACTAGGAAATCATAGTCATGTCGTGAAGTGGCATTACTGCATTGGACCCTAAAATCATTCTATAATAATAATAATAAGAAGAAGAAGAAGAAGAAGACGAACTCCTAAGATAAAGGAATAAAAATATAGTTGATGTTGGTTTTTATGGTTTGGAGGGTTCAGGAAAAAAAACTGCTGGCGCAACCTTTCGACCGTCAAGAAGGGGAAGGGGGTTGCACGGTATCGGAGATTATCGGACATCAATTCCTTTCATGAAGTTGGGGATAGTCAAAGTAGAGGCGTTAGGGAACAGCTGGTGAGACCGCCCATAGCGTTCAGTGACCATTAACACCATCGCTACGGTAGAGTCGATCAGTGAATTCAGCACCCAAAATTTGTGGGAGCTATTCGGAATGCAAAAATGGAATAATATTTCTCTTAAATAAAAGATAATTTTGCAGATTTTTCACACTCATTAATAGTTTATTCCAAATAGCAATTGCATTTACGGAATAGAACCGACGATATTTAACAGTACGTGCCAGAGACAGAAATAAAAATACATCACGGTGACTGTTACGTCGTGGCTGGATGTAATGTCTTAATGGGGTGGGTGGGTTAAATATGTGATTATACAAGAGGTTAGATAGCAAAAAATAGTCCCTTTTGTAATCTACGGAACCATAAAAGATCAAGACCCGTAAGCTGACAACGTTCTTGGTAAGACAAATGTCGTTGTTCCGGAGTTAAAATTCTCTTGGTAAAAAAGCGTTGAACGGATTCTATTTTCTTCCGCTCAATAGCACGCATTAGCCTTAATAACAACGAACAGTATTCTTGGCCAGGTTTAACCTACATGTTATAAAGGTGCATTCTAATATCGCTGGTTTTGACGTTTCGGAATATAAATCCTGTCGTTCTACGCGCTTTGGATACTAGTAGGACGCAGTTCTCCGAAAGATTAAGACTCTTGGTATATGATACACCCAGATCCCTAATAATTCCAGGTATATTTATATCGTGACCGTCAATACTTAGATGACGTTTATGGTCGCCGCCAACCACCATGACTGAGAACTTATGCCAAGAAAGAGAAAGGCGCCATGTGCGGCATCACTGGCGAAAGCCTGTAGATCGCTATTTAGGAGCTCAAGCACGATGTCATGATCTGCCGGCTTAAATCGATATGCAAATTTAAGATCATCGGCATACATGAAGGGCTCACCATTCTGAAATAAATCGGGCACATCATTAACGAAAAGGCAAAATATAAGCCGGACGAGTACACCACCCTGAATGAATCCACTCCTCACAAATGTGGCGTTGGAGATAATATTGGAAATCTTAACTCGTTGTGTACGATTGCCCACGAAAGAGGATGTAAAATTCAAACGTTTTTCACCTATTCCGAAAGAGGACAGATTCAAGAGAAGAAGAGCATTGTCAACACGATAAAAAGCCTAAGTATAATCGAAATATACTGTGTAAAGTGTGAAACCATTGTCCCTAGATTGGAGAACATGATCAAAGAAAGAGAGTTGACTGGTGTCACAAGAGCTAGCTTTGAGGAATCCAGGCTGAGCAGCACTCAGTAGGTTATTCTCTTTTAAGTGACACATCATCTTATCTTTCATCAGTGTCTCTAACATTTTCGAAAATGCTGGGAGGTAGTTTATTGGCCTAAAGTCATCAAATGATGTAGATTTGTGGCGCGTAGGAATGGGCAAAATGTGTGATTCCTTCCATAAGGTAGGATAAGTTTCACTTTCAAGAGCGAGATTAAATAACTTGCATAGGAGGGATGGGAAAATCGTATTTGCATCGGCTTTTAAAATGCTTAGTGGGACACTATCAGGTCCTGGACTATAGGATTAACAAAAACGCCGAATCGCAACGGTCACATCCCACAGAGTGAAAGTTATAATTTCGAGAATTGTCTCGGCCAATGACTTGATGGTCAGAAATGGAGTAGTCGACTTTTGATAAATGTTTTGGGCAGGAATGCGGTTAGATAGACATCGGCTTTGGATTCCTGAGAGCGTCTCGGAGTGTGGGATGCTGCGTTTTTCTGTGAGTTCCTACGTTTTGGGAGGAAAGTTTCGAGACGTTTAACGAACGGTTTACAGCGAATCGGACCACTTCGGCTAGCTGTCATTCTTCGGATAATCTCTTAGCTTACTCAAAATTATTACAAATCTACGGCGGAACGGAATTGTCCTTCTGAAGATGGAATCGACGAGACAGTCAACGCAACCTACGACGAAAGGGTAAGTGTATAAAGACCACACTTCCTTCACTTAATATTTTCTTATGGTGGACAAAACGAAAACTAAGCGGATCCAAAATTTCGTACGGTTTATCAGTGCAAACACTTACATCCGAAGTTAGGAAGAAATCAGTCCAAGCGCATGAATTATGATGTGTTAATAATTCGGCCGAGCGTGCTGATCGGAAATCGAAGAAGAAGCTATACTTTGGGAACAACGTTTTGTCAGCCCCGAGTTCTAACTTTGAAACAATTATGTCATGGTCTGAGACCCCGACTGGGTCTAGGGATGTTATTAACAAAGGCATGCAGCCTCTACAGAAAATTAGGTCAAGAATATTTGATCCTGGGGTGGTAAAATCCACAACCTGACTCCACATCCCAACATACGCAGCCTCAAGAAAGTCTTCGAACCTTCTGTGATCGGGAGGCGTGGACCAGCGGACTTCAGGAAGATTGAAGTCATCCGCAACCAATTGATACTTAAAGCTTGAGTCGGCCGCAGCATGAAATGCCTGTGAGAGTATACGATCAAAATTGTCATTGCGTTGTGATGGCGATAGACGCAGCCAACGGGTAAGGAGAACATACTTTTTAGTGCAACCTGGAGCCAGCAGCTGCCTTACACTGCGGAAAAATGCTAGAGTTCCAGCGGCAGAAATGTTAGTTCTTGTTTTGTGTAGATAAACCTGCCCCCACCATTGCTGTCCTCACGATCATTTCGAATGCAGGTATAACCTAGAAGAGAGAATTTGAAATCAGCTACGGAAGCTGATATCCATGTCTTAGTTATTATGACTGTATCTGGACAATTGACGAACGCCAAAGTCCGAAGCAAAGGCATCTTTTTCAGCATGGATCTGGCATTTCGAACAAAAAGTTTGAGGGGAAAGGCTGTTTGTTTCTGAGGGAGGTGGGCTACGTCTTCCAGAAATTCGTTGCCCACGGAACATACGGTCCGGTTGCACCGATCAGTTACTGCAAAACATTTTGTGGCATTAAACGATTCTGACGCGAATAAAGCGGTGTAGGATCTGGGGGAGGAAATGACGGGCAGTGGAACTGGTGACCATTGATAGCTAGCTCCTTTTCAGCTGGAAATCTACAGGCCAAAGACTATTACGTATTGCCTCCAGAACGAAACTCAGGAGCGGATGAGTTAACTGACACAGTATGGACATTAGCATGAGGAATGCATTGGTAAAACGGTCGTGGGGAAGTATTTTAGGTGGTGGTGGTGGATGGACTGCTGCTATTTGAGCAAGAATTCTATTAAAAGGCGGGAATGTCGGCATATTCGGCCTAAACGCCTCGATATGAGGGCTGGGGGAGTTGGAAACACTCCACGTTTTGGGCCGTGGTGTTTGAGGCATGGCTAGGCAATGGAGTTGAATGGGTGGAGGGAAGAATGGACTTAAAATCGGTAGCGATCAAGCAATCCAGATCGGTGAGTTATTGATGCAGCCAAAAGTTTATTTATGTGCCCCCAAATTAGGAATATCATTGAATATCTCCCGAAGTGTTCGGATAAATAATTGAATATGAGACCCTTGGGGATCTCGTCATAGCAAGTGAATATAAATTTATAAATTAATTTCGGGGCAATCGGAGA